CGCCATGAAAAGGTGGAGTAAGAGGCTAATTAATTAAGATGAGCTATTATCAGCAGGAGAAAAAAAAAACTTTTGTAGTGATAATCAAGATGGCCCATTTAGACAATTGACAAGAAGGTGTGAGGATACCTAACATGGGGAAATAGATTCAATATGTGTAATGACCCAGCCACTCCCAGTCTTTATTCAAACCCAAGTTAATGGTATCTAGTTTGCATATTAATTCAAGCTCAGCAGTTTCTCCTTGGAGTCTGTTTTTGAAGCTTTTCTGTTGCAAAATTGCCACCTTTAAATCTGTTACTGAGAGGTTGAAGTGTTCTCCTACCAGTTTTTGAACGTTATGATTCCTGTCGTCAGATTTGTGTCCATTTATTCTTTTGCATAGAGACTGTCCGGTTTGGCCAATGTACATGGCAGAGGGGCATTGCTGGCACATGATGGCATATATCACATTGGTAGATGTGAAGGTGAACGAGTCCCTGATGGCATGGCTAATGTGATTAGGTCTTATGATGGTGTCACTTGAATAAATATATGGACAGAGTTGGCATCAGGCTTTGTTGCAAGGATAGGTTCCTCGGTTAGCGTTCTTGTTGTGTGGTGTGTGGTTGCTGGGGAGTATTTGCTTCAGGTTGGGGGGCTGTCTGTAAGCAAGGACTGGTCTGTCTCCCAAGATCTGTGAGAGTGAGGGATCATTTTTCAGGATAGGTTTGATGATGTGCTGGAGAGGTTTTAGTTGGGGGCTGAAGGTGATGGCTAGTGGCATTCTGTTATTTTCTTTGTTGGGCCTGTCCTGTAGTAGGTGACTTCTGTGTACTCTTCTGGCTCTGTCAATCTGTTTCTTCATTTCAGCAGGTGGGTATTGTAGTTGTAAGAATGCTTGAGAGAGATCTTGTAGGTGTTTGTCTCTGTCTGAGGGGTTGGAGCAAATGCAGTTGTATCTTAGAGCTTGGCTGTAGACAATGGATTGTGGCGCGTGTCCTGGATGGAAGCTGGAGGCATGTAGGTAAGTATAGCAGTCAGTAGGTTTCCGGTATAGGGTGGTGTTTGTGTGACCATCGCTTATTAGCACAGTAGTGTCCAGAAAATGGACCGCTTTTGCGGATTGGCCTAGGCTGAGGTTGATGGTGGGATGGAAACTGTTGAAATTATGGTGGAATTCCTCAAGGGCTTCTTTTCCATGGGTCCAGATGATGAAGATGTCATCAATGTAGCGCAAGTAGAGTAGGGGCATTAGGGGACAAGAGCTGAGGAAGTGTTGTTCTAAGTCAGCCATAAAAATGTTGGCATACTGTGGGGCCATGCGGGTACCCATAGCAGTGCTGCTGATTTGAAGGTATACATTGTCCCCAAATGTGAAATAGTTATGGGTGAGGACAAAGTCAAAGTTCAGCCACCAGGTTTGCCGTGACATTATCGGAGATACTGTTCCTGACGGCTTGTAGTCCATCTTTGTGTGGAATGTTGGTGTAGAGGGCTTCTACATCTATAGTGGCCAGGATGGTGTTTTCTGGAAGATCATGGATGGATTGTAGTTTCTTCAGGAAGACAAAAGATGTCTGGAAGATAGCTGGGAGTGCTGGTAGCACAGGGCCTGAGGAGAGGGTCCACATAGCCAGACAATCCTGCTGTTAGGGTGCCAATGCCTGAGATGATGGGGCGTCCAGGATTTCCAGGTTTATGGATCTTGGGTAGCAGATAGAATACGCCTCGTCGGGGTTCTAGGCATGTGCAAACTAGATATCATTAACTTGGGTTTGAATAGAGACTGGGAGTGGCTGGGTCATTACACATATTGAATCTATTTCCCCATGTTAAGTATCCTCACACCTTCTTGTGAACTGACTAAATGGGCCATCTGGATTATCACTAAAAAAGTTTTTTTCTCCTGCTAATAGCTGCTCATCTTAATTAGCCTTTTATTCAACCTTTTCATGTTCTCTGTATGTATATATACACATCCATCCATCCACCCACCCACCCACACCCCTTCTTACTATATGTTCCATTCTATGTATCTGATGAAGGGGCTGTAGCCCATGAAAGCTTATGCTCAAATAAATTTGTTAGTCTCTAAGGTGCCACAAGTCCTCCTTTTCTTTTTGCTGATACAGACTAACATGGCTGCTACTCTGAAACTTAACAAGGAAGTGTACTTGAGAGTGGGGTCAGCATACTTAAAGGGGAAATGCACATCTCTCTCTCTCTGAGACACACACACACACACACGGTGTGGGTCTCTCTCTGCCATGCTGTCTCCCCTCCCTTCATTCATGCTGCCTTGTAGAGTGTGAGGCTATATTAACAACAACAAGTTAACCCTTGAGGGCTCAGCCAATTGCTAGATCATTATTTAGCAGTAAGGCATTCCCTGGAAAATATCCCACCCTCTGACTTCACCACCTCAACCAAGCTTCACAATCATCGCTGTGTACAGTATTAAATTGTTTAAAACATAACCTGTGTGTATATAATATAGTCTTTTGTCTGGTGAAAATTTTTCCCTGGAACCTAACCCTCCTGATTTACATTAATTCTTATGGGGAATTTGGATTCGCTTATTCGCATTTTTCAGGAACGTAACCACAACTTTAAGTGAGGAGTTACTGTGTATGTGTGTGTATATATATAAAAATAAAATGATGGGTTCTAAATTAGCTGTTACCACTCAACACAGATCTTTGAGTCACCATGGATACTTCTCCAAAAACTTCAGCTCAATACACAGTAATAGTCAAAAAGGCTAACAGAATGTTAGGAACTATTAGGAAAGGGACAGAAAAGACGACAGATATCATAATGCCATTATATAAATGAATGGTGCACCCACACCTTGAATATTGTTTCCAGTTCTGGTCACCCCATCTCAAAAAGAATATAATGGAACTCTAAACGGTTCAAAGAAGGGTAACAAAAATGATCAAGAGCATGGAATGACTTCCATACAAGGAGAGACTAAAAAGATTAGGGCTGTTCAGTTTAGAAAAAAAGACGATTAAGGGGGGTTATGATAGAGGTCTATAAAATCCTGGTGAGGAAAAAGTAAATAGAGAAAATTGTTATTTACCCTTTCCTACAATATAAGAAACTAGCGGTCAATCGATGAAATTAAACAGGCAACAGGTTAAATGCAAACAAGAGGAAGTACTTCTTCACCCAACACACTATTAACGTGTGGAACTCATTGCCAGGAGATGATGTGACGGCCAAAAGTATAATTGGGTTCAAAAAAAGAACTAGATAAGTTCATGGAGGATAGGCCCCTCAGAGGCTATTAGCCACAATGGTCAGGAATGAAATCCCAAAATCTGGGTGTCCCTAAACCTCTGACTGCCAGAAGCTGGTAGGGGAAGACACAGTGAATCACCCTAACTGCCCTGTTCTGTATACTCCTCCTGAAGCACTGGTACGGGTCACAGTCACGCACAGAATACCAGGCAAGATGGACCCCTGGGCTGACCCAGTATGGCAGTTATCTTATCTCATTACAAGCATCGAAAAGGGTCCTCAAATCTCTGTGAAAGTAGTTTGTGACAAAGTTTTAAGAACTTAAAAAAAAAATTTAAGAAAGTATATAGGAGTGCAACAGATATGGCAATTTCCTACAATATATTTGGGAGATCTTACTGAATTAAGTTTAGGTAGCTTTGGAGTCAATTATACCATAAACACCAAATTCAAGTCTTATTGTGGGATTGTATGCAACTTCTCTAGCAGGGAGATGTGACCAGAGTAAACCCAAGGAAGTGGTATGAGCTTCAAAGCACTACAGTATTTTAAACAAGTGCCAGACAAGGAGACAGTTTTGGACCAAACAAAGTTGAGCGTGAATGCAAATTCCCACCTCTAGACCCAAACTTTTGAAGCTATGCCCTGTAGAGAAACCCACTGTCTGCTGATTACCTATTCCTGGAATCTGAAGATCAAAGTCCTGAGCTGCAAAGTCCTGAGCTGGATTCTTGGGTGTGATTGTTCTGAACTGAAGTTCTTATGAACTTGTGACCACAGAAAACCCCCTTTATGGGGTGAGAAGGGCTGATCACCTGCCAGAACCCTTTTGGGATTGGGGTGTTTTCTGGTAAGCTTATTAGCATGCAAGTAGGTCCTTTTATTTTTTAAGGAGTTTTTTTAATGGTTTTGCAAAAACAACAAACCTCATTAAACCTTATTGGTTTTATTTAATGCTCAGGCAATCTGACTTGCTGAGGAGCTTGCAGTATAGGTAGGGAACTGTGCAGCCTGGAAAAACCCCAGTCAGGAAAAAATCGACATGTCTCTGCCCAGGAGAGATGGCTAAAGAGCCTGCAGTCTAGAGTGGGTGCCCATGATGGACCACAAGGGGGTGCCCTGAACTGTGACAAGGCGGGGTAGAACTATCAAGCCATTCCAGACATGAAGGACCCATGGCTGGCTTCCACTCCCATGCTACTGTGTATAAACAGATGAGGTGAAGAGCTCCATTTGACACTGAAAGCCTAGAGATAAACTAGAATTAGAGTTACTTCACTAGATGGTAGCTCAGTTCTATCATTCGTTTTTCTGGAGAAGAGAATGAAAGAACGGACAAGTGGACTACATGGAAACCGATGAGACTGCAAGACTACAGTATACTATCATAGAATATCAGAGTTGGAAGGGACCTCAGGAGGTCGTCTAGTCCAATCCCCTGCTCAAAGCAGGGCCAATCCCCAATTTTTGCCCCAGATCCCTAAACGGCCCCCTCAAGGATTTAACTACAACCCTGGGTTTAGCAGGCCAATGCTCAAACCACTGAGCTATCCCTCCCCCCACTATGGTAACAAGCACCTCAAATATCCAAGCTAAATTTATTAAAAATGAATAAGTCTAAAGACAGCTAGAAAAAACTTGCATAAATTGTCTATTTCACTACACAAACTGTTCAAAACCAAAGTCTATCCCATTCTCAAACCAATGAGCTGCCTGCTTGTAAACTGGTCCATTTTTCTGTGGTCTAACATCAACAAGGCTACAACCTGTACCTTTTTTCTTTTCTTTGAAGAATTCTCAGTGTGGCTGGACTTTTTATCACCTTCATATTCTGCTGTCTCCTCCTCCTCCGGTATCAGACTATACTTGGTTCCCCCAGGCTGCATGAAACACTCTTTGGCAAAATGACCTGCAAAATGTTTGAAACAGAAAAGAGCAAAATAAATCCCCCTTTTTGGGCTATTTCTTTTGAGGAGCCTAATGAAGATTCTACTTGGAGCCTATTTCTATAGTGGCACCTTAGAGACTAACCAATTTATTTGAGCATAAGCTTTCGTGAGCTACAGCTCACTTCATCAGATGCATTCAGTGGAAAATACAGTGAGGAGATTTATATACACACAGAACATGAAAAAATGGGGGGGGGGGGGGAGAAAACCCTTTATAGTGATAATCAAGGTGGGCCATTTCCAGCAGTTAACAAGAATGTCTGAGGAACGGGGGGGGGGGGGGGGGATGGATAAACAAGGGGAAATAGTTTTACTTTGTGTAATGACTCAACCACTCCCAGTCTCTATTCAAGTCATTCAAGCCTAAGTTAATTGTATCCAATCTGCAAATTAATTCCAATTCAGCAGTCTCTCGTTGGAGTCTGTTTTTGAAGTCTTTTTGTTGAAGAATTGCCACTTTTAGGTCAGAAATCGAATGACCAGAGAGATTGAAGTGTTCTCCGACTGGTTTATGAATGCTATAATTCTTGACATCTGATTTGTGTCCATTTATTCTTTTACGTAGAGACTGTCTGTGTGTATATAAAGTCTGCTGCAGTTTCCACGGTATACATCTGATGAAGTGAGCTGTAGCTCACGAAAGCTCATGCTCAAATAAATTGGTTAGTCTCTAAGGTGCCACAAGTACTCCTTTTCTTTTTGTCCAGAAACTCTGAAACCTATTTCTATAGTGATTACTTCCGTCTGTTAATGTTAAAATAAAATCTCCTTAGAAGCGATAGAATGCCTGCGTAATACCAAGTGAGCATTGGGCTGCTCCCCTCTATCTGCTGTGAGAGTTAATGTAAGACACTTCCTTCCACTGTGCTTTTGTTCCTCCCCCCAGTCTTTGTTTAGACAAAGCTCTCCAGGGCAGGGACAGTTTCTAGCTCTAGTACAATGGGGTGCTGATCTCAGTTGGGGTCTCTAGGTGCTATTATAATACAAATAATAATTAAGGCTACAATTTAGTCATGGGTATTTTTAGTAAAAGTCACAGACAGGTCACGAGCAATAAACAAAAATTCATGGCCTGTGACCTTTCCATGACTTTTACTAAAAATACCTGTGATTAAATCTTGTGGGGGGAGACGCACTGGCGAGGCGTGAGGGGCCTGCTGCTGCTCTGGCCAGCCTCCCGGGGCCGTGGCTACTCCAGCTGGCGTGGCTGTACATAGGGCTGCTCCAGCAGCAGCTGGTGTGACTGTTCTGGTGGCAGCCAGAGCGGCTGGCCCCAGAGCCAGCTATTTGGGTGGCACTGGGGTCAGCCACACTGGCCCCTGCAGAAGTCATGGAGGTTGCAGGACTCACGGAATCCATGACTTCCGCGACCTCCATGACAGACACGGAGCCTTAATAATAAATGAACTTGCTCTTCACAGTTGGAGCCCTTTGAAACTGACCAACACGAAAGATAATGAAAGGAACCACTACATACATTTGTTTTTGTTTTGCTCATCAATTTGAATTTATGTTAGTGTGTCCACGCTGCATTCTCTACAAAGGGACAGATGGAAGATGCTGTCACCATACTATTAAAAATCCATCACTATTTCAAACTCCATTCAGTGGTCGTTGTCTCTCATTTGAAGTTGCCACCTTATTGTATAACTCTAAACATCCCAGCAGGAGCCAGGAACAAGAGAACTTCAGCCCCATGAAAAAGCAGATTTTCAGACAGATGACTCAGTGTACAGGACACTAAAATAGGACTAAAGTCCTGCATTCTGTTCCTGGCTCTGCCACTGGTTTGCTGTATGACCTTGTTTCACCTCTCCATCTCTGTTTCCTCATTTGTAAAATGGGGATAACAGTGCTTCACAGAGATGGATGAGCACTGAGATAACTGGGCCAAAAGAGAGAAATACTGAATACGTTTCAGAATTATTTTTAAAATATGGTTTGGTTAATTTACAGTTAATTGTAGCCCGTTTTGCGTGTGTTTATGTTTTTATATATATATATATAAATAAATAACATATGTGACAAAGTTCCTCCTCTACCTTGGTGGGTCCTGCGCTTATTGGCAGATTTTGCTCGCCTCAGAGATTCACAGTAGCCCTCAGTTTGGCCACTTTCGTGGCTCAAATCTGCCATTCACTCAGATAACCTCATCGGTGGCAGTATGGGGAAAAAAAAAAAAGAGTAAGAACAATCCCCACAGTTTCTACTGATCCACCATGTGGGTCAGGGAACAGATCAGAGACCTTCCCCTCTGGTGGAACCTCCTGTATTGGGTCAGGAGTTGGGAGGTTTTGGGGGAACCCAGGCCCACCCCCTACCCCAGGTTCCAGCCCAGGGCCCTGTGGACTGCAGCTGTCTAGAGTGCCTCCTGGAACAGCTGCACAACTGCTACAATTCCCTGGACTTCTTCCCCATGGCCTCCTCCCAACACCTTCTTTGTCCACACCACAGGACCTTCCTCCTGATGTCTGTTAATGCTTGTACTCCTCAGTCCTCCAGCAGCACATCCTCTCACTCCCAGCTCCTTACACGCACCTCACTAACTGGAATGAGAGCCTTTTTAAACCAGGTGTCCTGATTAGCCTTAATTAATTCTAGCAGCTTCCCAATTGGCTACAGGTGTCCTAATTAGCCTGCCTGCCTTAATTAGTTCTAGAACCTTCCTAAGTATTCTGGAATAGTCCCGGTTATTTTACCTAGGGAAATGGGACCTGCTTAACCTGGAACTAATTTATCTACCTTCGACCACATATTATATATTTAGAAAAATAAAATTCAGTACTTTAAAATACTTGGAAACTGGGACCAGAGGTCAGTCCTGATTTGCCTTGTAAGACTAAAGATGGTGGTTTCTCATTTGTTTTTATTGTATTTCAGACATTTAAATCACTGCTTTTTTTATTAGATGCAGCAGTGACAATCTCCTTTCCTTTAATGTTCAACTGGTTTAATCTGCACTGATTAACCAACCCAGGGTACTGAATAGAACACAGGTCACTTAAGAGGGATTAATCAGACAAACCCAGTGTCCTGGTGTCTGAAGAAAGAACTATGGGAGAGACTTATCTGAGCAGGGGCTTCAACAGTAGAAGGGACATATGGCAGAGGGAATAAGCCCATGTCAGGGAAGCTCTTCACAAGAATGGGAATGTCTTTCCAGCCAAGCATCTTAAGACATCCCCAAGGCTTATAAGGATTCAATTTTTTAAAATCGGTGTCAATTTTACTGTACACACACAAACCAATGAAAAAAATATTTCCATTGATAATAATAAAACAAAGATAGGAAAACTAAGAAAAATGCTGCATGAGAACTCAGTTTGATTTAAGGATATTTTGTATCCTTGATTTAGTTGGGGATTGGTCCTGCTTTGAGCAGGGGGTTGGACTAGATGACCTCCTGAGGTCCCTTCCAACCCTGATATTTTTGATTCTATATTTTGACAGGCGATGTTGACAATTTGTGTTCAAAGGTTAATGAAGCTGTCCCTTTTTGAATCTCAAAGTCTACTGCCATTAAAAAGAAAAGGAGTACTTGTGGCACCTTAGAGACTAACCAATTTATTTGAGCATAAGCTTTCGTGAGCTACAGCTCACTTCATCGGATGCTCACGAAAGCTTATGCTCAAATAAATTGGTTAGTCTCTAAGGTGCCACAAGTACTCCTTTTCTTTTTGCGAATACAGACTAACACGGCTGTTACTCTGAATACTACCATTAAATAACTAACTGTCTGATGCCCCCATAATTTCTCACAACTGAAAATTAAAATGGACAAAAATAAAAATACTTAAAAAACAAAGATATTATCAGTCGAATTAAAAAAAAAAATCATCAAATTCTGGCAAGCCATACAGAAACAACTGCTTAGTTTTGGAAATTAGCCTCATTTTGGATCTACCCTGTACACACCAATGGCTGAACTCTAAAAATAGTTCCTGCCAACACATCTTGCCTAGTCAATTTGGACCAGACAAAGCCATTTTAAAAATAATGCTTTAAAACCATTATCATAGTTAGGAATCTACTTTAGAAAATGGTTTTCAGCCTCATTTTCAAGATGGTTGTGTGCAGTCCATACTGGACAGGTAACTATATTTAGCATCAGCAGAAACTGCTTTTAAATGTGCACTTATTAAGCTTTTTTAACACAGTTTAAAAGTCCACCATAACTATTAGCCAATAACCATGTAATATATAAGAACAAATAGGGCATGGTACAAATTGGTACATGATTTAACTGGGAATTGGTCCTGCTTCGAGCAGGGGGTTGGACTAGATGACCTTCTGGGGTCCCTTCCAACCCTTATATTCTATGATTCTATGAAATTCCGCAGGCAAAATGCTTAATTAGGACTAAGGTTGCTCATATGACCCATCAACAAAATCACTATGCGTTAAGGAAACCCCCAATTAAGCCAAAAAGAAAAGGAGTACTTGTGGCACCTTAGAGACTAACCAATTAATTTGAGCATAAGCTTTCGTGAGCTACAGCTCACTTCATCGGATGCATACTGTGGAAGCTTATGCTCAAATAAATTGGTTAGTCTCTAAGGTGCCACTAGTACTCCTTTTCTTTTTGCAAATACAGACTAACACGGCTGTTACTCTGAAACCAGTTAAGCCAAGATTCACTTCCAAACAACCCTCATATCTAGGCTTCTCAGAATTCAATATTTTTTTTATATAATTTTGACAGCTAAAAATAGGAAAAATGCATAAAAATAAAGATTATCAATTTTCACAGTTCTGAAACCTCATAATTTTGCAGATTTATTTAATAGTAGATGTTGAGATTCAAAAAGGCAAAGCTTTATTAACTGTTGAACACAAACTGTGAACTTCATGTCAAAATATGCAAAGTACCTCAGACTCAGACTTTAAGGACAGAAGGAACCATCATAATCATCTAGTCTGACCTCCTGCACATTGCAGGCCACAGAACCTTACCCACCCACTCCTGTAATAGACACCTAACCTCTGGCTGAGTTACTGAAATCCTCAAATCATGGTTTAAAGACTTCAATTTACAGAGAATTCACCATTTACACTAGTTTAAACATGCAAGTGACCCTTCCACTTTCCTCTGCAGTATGGGGTAAAACCTACAGAGTCTCTGCCAATCTGACCCGAGGGAAAATTCCTTCACGGCCCCAGATATGTTGGTCAGTTAGACCCTGAGCATGTGAGCAAGACACACCAAGCAGACACCTGAAAAGAATTCTTTGTAGTAACTTGGAGCCCTCCCCATCTAGTGTCCTGTCTTCAGCTGTTGGGGATTTTTGTTACTGGCAGTCACCAACAGGCAATGTGCCATCGTGGGCAGTCCCATCCTACCACCCCCTCCATAAACTTATCAAACTCAGTCTTGAAGCCAGTTAGGTTTTTTGTCCCCACTTTCCCTTGGAAGGCTTAAACTCATTTTCATGCATTTCATTTTAATTTCTTTGACTATCTATAAGTTTCATTATCATAGATGGAAATCTTTTGTGCTGGTCTGTGTGTGGTGAAATCAACGTTTACCAATCAAAAAAATCTAATCCTTCCAAACTTACTTATCTCACACACATTAAAACTGAGCGTTTGGATAGCGATTCTAACAGAACTGCTCACAAACATGCATTCAGTTCCTAGTAGCTGATGGAACTAAGTAGTTCCATTGGCTTTTCTTGAAATAGCAAGCAGTTAGGATGAATTAAGGAAATAATAGTTTCTGTTGAAGTGTAAAATTAGAACAGTATCCTTGCTGTGAAATGCAATGTGTGTGAGAGAGAAAAGTATGGAAACTGTAGCGACTGGTTCTTTAGCTAGATGAAGTTCAAAAGAGCATGGCTATGAGAATCAAATCTTTAAGAATGAGCATTTCTAAATGTTTCCCCTGCAATCGTCAGAAATGACAGAAATTTCAGTTGTCCTCTGAAGAGTTAAGTGTGTTAAGTTTGGAGACCTAAATTCAATCTTTACAGCGAGAAATGGGTATCATGCTTTAACTGAATATATCAACACAGCCATAATTGCAGAGTCACTACTGATACCTCCGTAATGAGCGTCAAGACAAAAAACTAGAACAATAGAACAAGAATGGAAACAGCACAAACGTACCTTTGCAACCACATTTTTTGCAGACAGTGTTCAAGACAGCTTCCAGGGTAATCTTCTGACTAGTGTAGTCTCTGAATGAACGTTTCTTCCGCTCATCCTGACTGTGGAAAGAAAAGAACTATTTTTCTCTTCCAATCTGCATCACCTCTAACCCCATGCATTTGCCTGGAAGCTCAAACAAAAGTTTTCAAACATGGCTGCCTGAAGTTAAGCTTTTAAATCCATAGCTAGGCACCTAAATAAAAGCGACTACTCTGCAGAATGCAGTTGACTACTTAGTGGAGGAAGCCACAGACAGCATATTACGCTTGCTCCCTATTTGTTTCTTGGTATAAGAGGACTCATTTCAGAGTCAGTTTCACAGAATACAGGCAAACACTCATAGCTTTATACTTTATAGTATAGCCTTATACTTTGGCTAACTCGCAGCTGCCCTACTTCACACTAATATATACATACACATATATATAATGTACACAAACATATGCCTGGGATAAAATAATTATTTTTGACGGAGTAATAAAATGTCATCACAAGAAAGTGCAGACAAGGAGATTTTGTGCCTGGGATGGTAAGTGTTTGTAGGGCTGTAAGCTCACAGGAAATAAATACACCCTCAGCACAGGAAGAAAGATTGCCATGGACAGGTCATTATGTACAGCACGTTTTGTTAGCATGCTGAAATTTGGTATTCAAATGTAGTCCTTTGCCAACAGTGCTGCAGAGGGAACATCTTAGATTGTTCTTTAGAGACCCCTCCATTTGCTTCAGAGCGGCATTGATGGGCTCAGGAGGGAGCTGCCGCCTCCTTCCTGGCAGGAGGACCAGGTCAGTCACTGTAATAGGAGGGCAGGGAACAAAGGAAGCAATAGTCGCCAGGCTGATTTGTTACACCCAACAGAGCAGATTTACCTACTCAAGGGCAACATTGTTTGGATCAAGGTCCTTTCCTGTTCCTTGGTTGACGACCTTCATGGAAAGAGACAGCTTCAACTTGTCATCTTTCATCTGTAAGAGACGGACACGGAGGGAAAAAAAGCAAGTCATAACAGAATCCGGTTATAGGAAAACCCACAAAGACTGAGTGAAACTGCCAACTAGTAAAGAAGTGAATGCTCTAAAGTCAAGGATACATCACAAAATGTTTTAATTTTGACAAGTATATTTTAGTTTCATTTACACTTCAATGTTCTAGTTAATGGACCAGAGTATATTACTTAAAAATAATGGTCTCAGAAATAAGATCATAAAAACTACCCCAACAGATCAGAACATAGACTCATCTAGCCAGTATCTGGTATTTAATAGTGGCCAGTAGCAAATACTTTGCGGAAGGGAGGGTGTGTACAAGAAACTCCAAAATGGACAATTATGGAATAACCTGGCCACAAGGGAAGTTTCTTCCTGATCCGAGCCAGGTTAGTGGTTGGTTTATGCCTTGAAACATGAGGCTTTATATCATTTACACATTTTTGTCCTTTTCGGTAAATGGGAATGTTCTAATTATCCGTATAAAAGGCTCTTTTCTGAATCCTAATCAGCTCTTGCTCTCCATATTATCTTGGAGAGTTTCACAGGTTGTGTGTTGCTTGACATCTTTCTAGAGTACACAGCCTTTTAAACATTCTTGCTAATGATGTGGGGTAAACCCCATCATAGTGTGAAATAATGAAATGGGCAGGTTACAGTGAAGCGCCGCTCTGATGCAATTTGCAGTCAGGCCAAAACTTGGGAGTTATTTTTCATTTATTTATTTGCAAAGTCCATGTGTTCTTTTGGGTGCTTTAACAGATAATTTTATTTTAAAAAACAACATTTATCCACCCTGCACACACTTCCCATCAGACCTTCTTTAGACACCACAAAGAAGCAGAAGAGGGCACAAGCCCTATTGTTTTTTATTTTGCAAGTCATCTTTAAAAACAGAATGAACACTGTAGCAGTGTCCTTTCAAAGAAAGTTCATTCCCTCAAATAGAATTAAGAGAATTCTCAGCTTCTGCTAAGAATGGGTTAAGAGACCTTTCCAATCGTGAGCAGTTTACAACTATATAGCACCTTACTTTCCAATAAATCTTAAAGTACTTCACATGATATACAAATACCATAGAGGAGTCATGTAGCTACCTACAGGGTGACATGCCAACCAGTAAACAGTAGTCTGAACAATGGTGCAGGGGGGAGGCAAGAGGACATTTGATCAAGGATGAACTCCTACTTTTATGAAGGATGCCATGTGATCTGTGAAGCCTGTGCAAATCAGACAAAAGGTTGGTTCTTAAATGCTCATGTGATGAGGAACATGATTAGTTTGTGTTCACAACAAACAGCATCATGCACTAGACAAAGTGATTGGAACACTACGCTTCTGTTAACATGAAAATCATTAGCTTGCTGTCGTTGCAAGTTTTTTCTTAGTTTACACAGTGCTTAAGACACCATAAGCAATTTTACCTCTCTTCCAATAAGCTTCACCCACACTTTGTCTCCAACATCTACCATTTCCGAGGGTTTGTCGACCCGACAGGCTGACATGTGGGTTTTATGGACAAGGCCTAGAGGTGGTTTTAGGGGAAATAAATAAAATTGTTTTTGGTTGAACATAACATTTTATCCTCTAGAAAATAAGAGCATCAAGGTCTGGAGCATCCTTAGGTGAAATTAAATATCTGGGTTACTCAACCACTACTTCACGCAGAATAAAGATTTATGAGGTTTACTGGTTTTTCAAAACCATTTATAAGCCAAATGCAGCCAGCTAAACCCACCAACATCTGCTCCAAACTCACAATGGGGCAGCTCTTGCAAAATTAGAACCTGACAGCTAAAAAAATGCTTATATCATTCCAATCTCATAGAGTTAGTGTAATTTCCCCCGAAGAGTTTGATCCTGCAAGTCTTTGTGCATAGGTGCTTGCAAAATTAACGTTCTGGTGCAGCAACAAGCTCTGTGCAGATGGGAATCTTGCAGCCATATGGAACTTACTGAGAGATTGGGCCAAAAGTCTCCCTGACTTCAATGGAATGTAGACATCCATAAAGGCTGCAGGATTAGGTACCTACTGCATTAAACCCAATGCTAATTACTTCGGAATACAAATCACTCTCGTGGGAAGGGGAAGATGGGAGGCTGCATATTCTAGATCTTAGAGTGCAGTTAGTAAGAAAAGCAACTAAAAGAAAGAGCATCCTATCAGACAGCGAAGGTGCTAATTTAAGAGGCACAAACAAGTTTTAATTCCTGCCAATCCTGTGGACCTAGCAGAGCTGAGGGACGACAAACAAGATGCTGTTCTATTTTGGGCATTAGCAGCACAATTTTTAGCTGGCAACACCAGAGGCAGAAAACATAACTTGACTTGAAGACTCTGGCTTGGCATTGCCGAACTAGCAGGGAGAAAAAAATCATCCTTTTAACTTGCACAAACTAAACATTTGGTGTGGGACTGTCCAAGCAAGATTAACTATTGAACCCATAGTGGCATTTTTCAGGGTATTATCACATTTCAAAGGAAACCCCAGGTTTTGTTTGTTGGGGTTTTTTTAGTGTCACAGTTGCATTGGAAAACTTGCCACTTATTTTTGTCACAAGTAACACCCCTAGTGCCACTGCAACGCAGAGGCCGGAGAAAAAGATATTTAATATTTTTTCAGTTTGTTTACCTCGTGCATTTGACAGCATTCCCTGTACAGTTTCACTATTTCCCTTGTATACTCAGATTCACCTTTTAGTGCAAGTCTTTCACACAACTGATAGGAACATGAAAAATAACCAGGAAAGCCTGGACTGTGAGGCAGTCAATGATTTACCATTATGATTTTTCCTTCCATCTATGAATTCCATTTCATAGCAGAAATTAAGCATCCCAGGCCCTGAATATATAGGGAATTACTGCACTCCAGTCTAGTGCCTTATAATGCCACTCCAACATATTCTATCATCACCTGGAAATGCACTTATTCATTTAACATTTTTTTCTGTAAATGAGAATATATTCAGTATTAATGCAAGCATTTATATAGCCCCATCACTGTATCTGGAGCTCTTGTGTAGCATAAATGGGGACATAAAGATCTCCATAAGAAACCAAACCCCATACCGGGAGGATTTAATCAACTGGGAAGGGGTGAACAACAGACTCATTTTGCAGCATTTTCTAAAAGATGCCAAGTCCTTCTGCAAGGGGAGGACTGTATTAAGCAAACCAGCATGGAACTAAGTCTGAAAATCTAGTCTAAGAAACAAACCTTGTTTCCTGCAGCCTGGAATTTTTATAAATGCCCCATATTCTGTTACAGCAGCAACCTGTGAAGAAAATCAATATATCCATTGACTGAAAGAGAATCTTGTACATTACACCCATTTTCTGTCTCATTTTCTCCTTCCTTGAAACCCACTCTGGTTACATGCACTTATTTGGTTTCAGCTGTTTCTAATTTGCTTTCTATGAGTCTGCTTCAGGTTATCTTCTTTTGAACTGGGGAGCTACATAACAACACATATTGTTGCATCAGATACACACAAAAGCACAGGATGATTATTTTCTGCCTGCAAGATTACAGACAGATCTTGAAAAATGACATTTTTCAAAGAGAGTCTATTTGCTATATTCAGCAGCAGGAGCCAATATTTTTAACTTCTATTTTCCCCTATTTTACCATTTGAGTAAATTTAGTGCTGACAGGCCAGACTGACAGGCCTTGGAAACAGTCTTATGCTCATCTATGGAACAGACAGTGGACAGGCAACAAAAACTTCCCTAAATCTTCAAACTAGTGTGCCTCTGAAGGGACTCACCCTACCATTTGGGGAGGGATAGCTCAGTGGTTTGAGCATTGGCCTGTTAAACCCAGGGTTGTAAGCTCAATCCTTGAAGGGGCCATTTAGGGATCTGGGGCAAAAATTGGGGATTGGTCCTGCTTTGAGCAGGGGGTTGAACTAGATGACCTCCTGAGGTCCCTTCCAACCCTGAGATTCTATGATTAAGGGGAATTAACCCATCCCTCCATGCTCTATTCTATCCTAGGCCTCTCTAATAAGACTACCCAAAAGAAGACCAGTCAGTGTCAATTGTGGCAGTGGTGGTTTTGAAATGGATACTTGTCCACTAGTACCTGCACTGAGACCTACCAACTAATTTCACATAGTTATTACAAACAAACATCTGATGGTAATGACTTTTGCTCACTGCTGACTATGGCCCCAATTATGCAATAAACTCTATGTAAATAGACACCTGAGCCTGCAGAGAACTTCACTGAAGTTAATTAGTCATGGCATGGATCCACCCATGCAGAGCTTTATTATGGAATCAGGGCCTGATGTTGGAGTTGAACCAATCTAGACTTGAGAGGCTCTTTAACTCACTCTCTGTCCCCTGACACCTATAATTCTAGCCTTTGTCCTCTTCTTACTATTCTTACAGGGGGAAAATAGTACCCAGGGCTTTTTTGATTATAACAAGGCAGACAGGATCTCACTTCCCTTTTAATTAGAAGAATGGAAAGCTAACATTAAAATGTGCAGTGCCCTTAAGTTCAGGCACCAATATGTGGAGTGAGCCCGAGGTATTGCAATTCAGGACTTTGAGTTGTGCCAAACTGAACAACAAATATTCTTGATAGCAGCTATTAAATTCAAGACAGTTTCCAACTTTTAAAAGCTAAAGTCTCTTGTATTTCACAGCATGAGGCAGGATGGAAAGCTTTATCCCCAAGCTCCACAAAAATTAAAGCAATAAGATTTTCAGATCCCTCACACTTGAGTCGAAAAATTAGACTTGGCTGAGAGAAATAATCAGCATGAATTCTCTGAAGACAGCTTTTCTCATCCTACAAGAGGACTAGCATGTTTATGAATACACATTCTTAGCTAATCCTCTTAAAGAGTTATTACTCTTCAGACTGGAGGTGTTTGCATTAGCAATGTGGCTCACCCATCAGTTTTATTTTAAAGACATCTAATGAAATAACACCTGCAATAAGAGTCTCAACCTGTTCTCAAAACATTAGTTAAAATATTTGCAAAAAAGTGTGTTAAATATTTTTTCTTTAATCTGAGAATGCTGGTAAAAGGCAGCAGCTCAAGAGACTGAAGTCCTCGTCTCATCCCTGTCAATGTGCATCAACTCTAACCTAGTGGGGGAGAGGGGAGTTCTCTCTCTATGTACTCCTTAGTCCAGGAGTGGGCAAACTACAGCCCAGGGGCCACATCCGGCCCTTCAGATGTTTTAATCTGGCTCTTGAGCTCCCGCTAGGGAGCAGGGTCCAGGGCTTGCCCCGCTCCGGTGCTCTAGCCGGGGAGTGGGGTCGGGAGCTTGCCCTGCTCCACATGTGCCGTGGCTCCACACAGCTCCCAGAAGCAGCGGCATGTCCCCCCTCCGGCTCCTACGTGTAGGGGCAGCAAGGGGGTTCCGCACTCTGTCCCCGCCCCAAGCGATACCTCCACAGCTCCCAGTGGCCAGGAACCACAGCCAATGGGAGCTGCAGGGGTGATGCCTGCGGACCGGGCCGTGCACAGAGCCACCTGGCCGCGCCTCCGTATAGGAGCCAGAGAGACAGCATGCTGCTGCTTCCGGGAGTTGCTTGAAGTAAGCACCACCTGGAGCCTGCGCTCCTGTCCGCCTCTCACTCTCTGAACCCCTCCATCCCAGCCCGGAGCACCCTCCTGCATCCTTAACCCCTCACCCCCAGCTCCACCCCAGAGCTCGCACCCCCAGCCTGAGCCCTACCCCCCCCCCGCACCCCAACCCTCTGCCCCAGCCTGCAGCTCCCTCCCACACCCTGAACTCCCCATTTCTGCCCCACCCCAGAGCCCGCACCCCCAGCCGGAGCCCTCACACCCTCCCACACCCCAACCCGCAATTTCATGAGTATTCATGGCCCACCATACAATTTCCATAGCCAGATGTGGCCCTTAGGCCACAAAGTTTGCCCATCCCTGCCTTAGTCTCTATACCAGGAACGCCAGCAAGGGGTCAGTCTGAGGCAGCTGTGGTGGCAGTAGTTTTGTGACGTAGACACTTGTTCTCTATGAACCACAATACACAATAGCAGCTCATTTCACACAGGTCACTTAGCTTTGTTGCCAGTAATTAGGGCTGGTTCTGAACTGGTGATTTAAAAATGAAAGGCTCTATATTCTCTCTCAATATCCTGCACTATTCGTGTCTCCAATACTTTTTTGTGACCCTAAGCAACGACAACACATACCTCTCCTTGGAAGACGTCATAGAGTTCAGGCAATGTCTCCATCGTCTCAGGTCTCACAGACTTCATTTGGGAAGTTTTCTAAGAGCATGCACTGCACAATTCTTTCCTAACCTTGCAGCTTACTTTGATTCCATTTATGAGATGTTATCCTTCTGTGGAGCAACCCCATTCATAACTGAAACGAAGACAGACACCACTTGTTGAGAGAAATACCTTCACTGGTAATAAAAAAAATAGCTCTTGGGGAGGCCTTCTTACCTGCCCCACTTTCACTCATACTAGTCACACTAATTTCTCAATATCCATTACTATAGTGACTGGTGCTTACACTATATACTATGGCAGTATAATCCAGTTGGTAGACAAGCCAAAGAACCAGAAGACATGAGTACTTCTATGATACAGCTGCCAATAACGTGCTGTGTAAAAATTATAAGAAAGTCACTTAAGTTTGTGTCTCACTCCCCCCCCCCATAAAAGTATTATAGTACCTAGGCAGATACAGCAAAATATGTACCCATGACTGTAAATTGGCTCTGATAATACCTTGCAATTTTGTCCCGTTTTCAGAATTCAGCACCCTCATGCATATGTAGTTCCTATTGTTCTTCAGCGACTGTATTTAGGGTGTATTTGGGGGGAGGGATAGCTCAGTGGTTTGAGCATTGGCCTGCTAAACCCAGGGTTGTGAGTTCAATCCTGGAGGGGGCCATTTAGGGAACTGGGGCAAAAATTGGAGACTGGTCCTGCTTTGAGTAGGGGGCTGAACTAGATGAGCCCTTGAGATTCTATGATTATAATCTGTTCCCTTCCCTAGTACCTACGACACAGGCCTAAAAACCAGAATGTAAACAGCCGCCACCCTTTAAAAGGCCGAGGGGACTAGAGCTTTCCAAATGCTTGGCTCAGCCACAGAGGGGCACGCTCTCACCCATACAAGGAAACACTGGAGCATCTCAAGGACTGCGAGCCCCCCCAGTTAAAAAGTAATGAGCCCAAATCATTAGAATGACTTAAAAATCACAACGTTCTTTAAACACCGCCTTTGGGATTCTTTTTATGTGCCGTCCTTCCGGTTGCCTCCGGCTCACGTTTCCAGGCTGTCCTTAGCTCCAAGAGCAGAGGGGCTTAGACGGAAACACTAAACACGCCGCACCCCCCCCTCCTCGATTCCACCCCGTCCCGGCTAGCGCCCAGCGCCCATAGCGAGCGCTTACGGCGAGCCCCTGGGGCGGGGCCAGCGCATCGCTGCGCTGAGTCTGTACAGCGCCGATCACACGGGGCCCGCAGGTGCGACCGCCGCCCAAGCGATCACCCCGCCGCGGCTATCGACGGCCAGCAGGTGGGGGTGGGGAGGCCCAGCCCGCCCAGCGCCCCTGGGCGCAGCAAGGGGATGGGGGGGTGACAAGCCCCCAGTTGGGGAAAGGGCTGAGGGCTCAACTTCCCGCTGCCGCCCCCGGCCGGCCCACCCCGCTGCCCCCCGTCACTCACCCCAGGGCGCCTTCGTCGCCGTTAACCCGCCCGCGCCTGGTACAACCGGGAATGACGAACCTTCGCCGACCAATCACCACGCAGCATACTCCTGAGTGCCACTCACACAGCTAATGGGCGCGCTCGATGCTAGAACGCTCTCCGCTAGCCCGCCGAACAGTACGGCCAGCTCTACCCAATCAGCGCACTGAAAAGAAGGTGGTGGCGTGGTCGGTGCTCGCAACCAATCAGAGCGGGGAAACTGGACCGTTCTGTCCAATGACTGGAGGACGGGGGCGGGGCTTGGCTGCTCCGGCGTAAAGCCTCTGAGGCCTAGCGCGGGTCCGAGAGCCGAGGCCGAGTGGCGGCGCCAGGGAGCGGCGATGATCGAGCAGCAGAAGCGCAAGGGGCCAGGCCCGGAGCTGGCGTTGGTGGCGGCAGCGGCCAAGCGGCCCCGGCATGAGCTGCTGCTGGGGCCCGGCCCGGGCGGGGGGCAGCCGCCTCCGGGGGCCCTGCTGCAGGCGGTGAGTCCCGGCCCCAGGCCTCCGCCCCACGGTCCCTGCTCCCCCCGCCGCCCCGGGGGCTCTCGCTGTGTCCCCCGCCAGCAGCACGTGCTCTCCCCTCGGCGGGGGAGGCAGTCCCCCCCCGCCGGGGTCACTCAGGGCCAAGCCTGGCCCCAGGGTTCCCAATGCCGGGATGGGCCGCTCCGTGCCCCCGCCGCCTTGTCAGTGCCCCCCGGGCGGAGCTGCGGCCAGCTCAGGCGAGCCTGGCTTGGCGAGCCTTCCCCCGGCTACACGGGCTTCCAGCTGCTGCTTGCCGATGGCAGAGGCGGCCCCAGCTACTTCCCTGTCTCCCTCTGTGCCTTCCCGTGCACCCCGAGGCAGAGGGGTGGCAGACTGGAACCCCTCCCAAGAGAGCCCTTGGGGCAGGGGAGCAGTTACCCAGCCCCATTCTCTGGACTCCTGTTATAACGTGGTTTAGATTCTTTGTGTAGTTCCTCTGGCTGTAATATCTATACTGACACCAACTTGCAATGTGACTTTAGACAAGTTATTTCACCTCCTCGTGCCTCCATTTCCACATCTGTAAAATGGGGACACATCTGGAGTTGTGAGGTTTGATAAGTGCTTTGCGATTCTTTGGTAAATGGGGACAGAGAAGTGGAAATGTTAGCTTTGTAAACCCAGTAAGGGAGTTACGATTTTTTTTTTCTGCCTTCCTTTCCCACACTGCAAACATTCTGGTTCATATGTTTCATTATCGCTCTCTGCATTTTCTCTGTATTTTAGGGCCCTCCACGATGTTCCTCCCTCCAGGCACCCATAATGCTGCTCTCAGGACATGAAGGAGAAGTTTACTGTTGCAAGTTTCACCCTAATGGAGCCACTTTAGCATCTGCAGGATTTGACAGACTGATCTGTGAGTTTGTAATGATCGGTAGTTCGTGATATGAGCTATTTTTCTGACAAAATCCAGTGCTGCTGTAAACTGCTTTTTATACATTCAAATGGCTATGGAGTGAGCTGTTGTGAGCACAGAATGCTGATAGCTTGGCATTGACCTGCTATGTTAGAGGTGGGCAAACTTCGGCCCGGGGGCCACATGCGGCCTGCGGGACTGTCCTACCTGGCCCCTGAGCTCCTGGCCTGGGAGACTGTCTCCCCTCTCCTGCAGCCACGTCGCCGTGCAGCGCAATGCTATGCCAGCCACCGGTGCTCCAGGCAATGTGGTCAGGGGGTGGGTTGGATAGAGGACAGGGGAGTCTGGGGGCTGGTCAGGGACGTGGATAGGGATCGGGACGTTCAGAGCGTGGGGAACAGGGGTTGAATGGGGGCAAGGGTCCTGGGGGGGCAGTCAGAAAGGAGGGGGGGGTTGGATTTAGGGGTGGGGGGTCCAGGGGTGGTCAGGGGACTGAGAGCCCGGGGGGGGAGTGGATGGTGCAGAGGTCCCTGGGGGTCTGTCATGGAACAGGGGGATTGGATGGGGCAGGGGAGGGGGGGCGTCAGGGGCCAAGAAGCAGGGGAGTCGGATAGGGCGCGGGGGCTGGGCCATGCCTGGCTGTTTGGGGAGGCACAGCCTCCCCTAACTGGCCCTCCGTACAATTTCAGAAACCCAATGTGGCCCTCAAGCCAAAAAGTTTGCCCGCCCCTGTGCTATGTACTTCTAGGAGTATTTCAAAGTGTTGGTGACCTAAAATTATCTGCGACCCAGCCCGTCTCTCACCTTGCACTCCACCACATCAGTTAGTATTGGAGGGATTGTTCTTGCTCTCATTTTCTGAAGGGGATCTTAGCAACATTAACAACAGAATTATTATTGGTGGGGCGGTATTTGAACTCAGTCTCTTTGTCAGTCTCCCAGAGCCCACACTGAGCATCTTTCAGTCAGGAGGACTCGCACATTTATTAGATTTAGAACTTGTCTACATTGGAAAATTGCACAAATTAAATTTAAATCTGTTTTTTAAATCGATATACTTAGACTGGTGCAAAGCCAGTGTAGATACTCTTATTTTGGTTTAAAAGTGGTTCCTTTCAATTTAACTTAATCCTGTTCTTAGTTGAATTAAACTAAACCAGAAGAAGCCATTTGTATACTGAAGCGTGTTTACTGAGGAATTTGCATGAGTTTAACTATATCAGTTTAAATCAGTGGTTCTCAAACTTTTGTATTGGGGACCTCTTTCACCCAGCAAGCCTCTGAGTGCCACCCCCCACCTTATAAATTAACATTTTAAAAAAATATTTAACACTATTATAAATGCTGGCAGTGAAGCAGGGTTTGGGGGTGGAGGCTGACAGCTTGCGACCCCCAGTTTGAGAACCCCTAGTTTAAATTCACACTTAGGGTTATACCAATGCAACTTTCCCAAGGAAGGCTGTGACTTTATAGGATTATGCCCAACACTAACTCTTGTGAGTAGCAGCATAGTACTGTTATGGTTTTGGTTTTTTTGTTACTGTTGTTTTCAACATGCAGTTAAATCCATATTCATACAAACAGGAATATAAACTGATGGGAAATCCTTCTGTATAAGGAAAGATTGATCTGGGGCTCCTTTCACATCCCCTCATATTTGTCACCTCTCTACATTAAGAAGTATACAGCATGAAGTGTATAGGAAAGTTGAAACAGATGTTCTATTTACACTTATAGTACAGGAGGCAACATGACACTCAAAAGTGAGGAAAGGAAATACTTTTCGCCACAATGGATAATTAACCTGTGGAACTCACTGCAACAACATGCCATTGAGCCTAGTAGGATTCTAAAAAAAGATTAGATATGTATATGGAAGTCATCCATGTTTACATTAGATAGAATACATATTTATAAGGGAAATAAACCTTCCTGCTTCTGGGCATGAGGCAGCCACTCATTGATGGGGAAAATTTTCTCGAATCCACTATGGGCAAACTGTTCCTTAATTGTCCACTACAGAGTTTTTTCCACCTTCCTCTGAAGAATCTGATACTATCCTTGGTCGTTATCACAATTTCCATGTTCCTGACTACCACTTACAGGTGGCCAAAAAAGCAAATTTTACCATACAGCTAATAAAATGGTGTATGTTTATGGATGTCCACAATAGAAAAATATTAGTGCTTGGAACGGCAGTGGAGGTATTTACAAAAACATGCTTCCCTTATCCAGCTTGGTTTAAGAACACACACAAACCAATATTTAAGGTATATTTTAAATTTCAGCCATCTCTCTCACATGGAACTTACACTGACCATTTAAAGGCTTCCTATTCCACGTAGTAAATACTGGGGTTTGGAGATGGTGCTGAATACAAGAGGCACTTTATTTTAGTGAGCTCAGGAAGTGTCACTATAGATATTTGGACAAATTGGTATTGAAACATAGTTTTGGGTTTGTGTGGTTTATTTTTTACAGTGCTGTGGCATGTGTATGGGGATTGTGATAATTTTGCTACCCTGAAGGGACACAGTGGAGCAGTTATGGAGTTGCACTATAACACTGATGGCAGGTAAATACCAGATGAAACCGACTTGACCTATAATTAGCCTGCCTTGCTGCTGTTTCTGAATGAACGCTCCAGAATGTTTTGGGAGATAGTTTGCATGAAAGGAGCTGCTAAATGAAGGTGGTGGTGTTGAGGTCTTGGGTAGAGATAGTAAAAGATCTTGGGTAAAAGATACTTGTAGTTGGCAAGGGGGATACATTCACCAGCAAGTAAGCTACTCTCCAGCTCCTCTTCATTGCTTTTGCTCTCAGCTGGTGGCTCTGACGAGGAGACGCAATGGTGTTACTTGAATGGTTGCACCTCCCAGAAATATCTCAACGTATTACATCTGTTCTAGAGTGCAGGAGCAAAGAGTAAAGTCAGTGTGACAAGTTCCAAGGCCCATGGATGGGGAGCAGAAGATCTAAAGCCTAGACATTCTGTCCCAACCCTAGGAAGCGAATCTGTGAGAAAGTGAATAGGGGGACTTTCAGTGTGAAAGAGAGAATGGAGCAGAGATTTGGGATAAGGAAAGAAAGATGGGGAAGGAAAAGTTGACTGGTAGAGACAGCTTCTGGCATTATCCAACAGTATCTGAGGTTTTTACAAAAGATATCCCTCCCACTTCACCATCATCCCAAGCAATGTCAAGGAGGTGAAATCTGGCAGGAAGCCAGCAGACACCCCTCCAGTAATTGGATTGA